CAATCTTACTTCCGCCCTGAGATACTTGGAGTATCTCAAATCAAATCAAACCAAGTGTCACAGGTCTCTGTCCTGAGTAACCCCGACTCCCCCTGGGAAGGGCCCTCCCACATGAGTCTGTCTCCTGGAGCTCACTTCAGACTCTGTGTCTCAGCCAGCACTTCCCATTTCTCAGTGAGTTTCACAAACTTAACTTCCTGAAAACGCTTCATGTCCATCCCCCTCCTCCACCCCCGTAACTCCCACCCCGACCCGACCCGGGTGTCCATCCTCTCTCTCGCTTGGCCTGAGTGAGATCTGGACCTGGACCAGCCTTCCCTCTGGCCCACCAGCCTCCAGTCTTGCTTCTGTCCAGCCTACCATGATCTGACCCTCATCCTTCCCTGCTCAGAACCCTCCCAAGGCTCCCTGTGTCCCTCACAGCCTGTGTGCAGGCCTCCAAGTGGTCAGACTCACGTGTGTCAGCACTCCTGCACAGTTTCACACATCAGGGTCCATCTTCTGGAATGTTCTCTCCCAGGTCTAGATGTAGCCGTCTCTTCCTCCAGTGTCCGTCCCCCTTTCCCGGGATCACTGAGTTGCCTTTCCTCCCCCTCACCTCACCTCCTGGACGTCCCCGCTGCGCGCCCTTGCCTGCGATATTTCTCTCAGAGATAGCATTCCTGTGTCGGGGAGGACAAGAGAGAAGGGTCTCTCAGCCTGGCCCTTCCAGCTCTGCCTGTCTCCCTAGTTCCAGAAATCCTGGGCAATGCCACCTCCCTGCACAGCCAGGAGGGCCAGTCCCTGCGCCTGGTCTGTGTCGATGACAGCAACCCACTCTCCAGCTGAGCTGGTTCCGTGGAAGCCTGTCCCTGAGCCCCTGCCAGCCCTTGGATCCCGGGGTCCTGGAGCTGCCCCACGTGGTCTTAGGAGATGGAGGAGAATTCACCTGCCGAACTCAGCACCCGGGGAGCTCCCACTGTGTCTCCCTGAACCTGGTTGTACAGGGTGAGTGTAAGCAAGGATGCCTGGGCTCTGAGCTGGGCCGTGAGAAGGATTAAGATGTGGACTTAAGGAAACACACACCTCCACCTTCCGCCCTCTTCCTCTTCCAGGTACCTCCTGTTCCTGCCCCCAAGTCTCTGTGGAGCAGCAGGGCACCTGGCCCCTGGTCCTCACCTTGCTCAGGGGGGCCCTCATGGGGGCTGGTTTCCTTCTCACTTATGGCCTCACCTGGATCTATTATACCAGGTAAGAAGCCCTTCTCCAGGTGACCTACGCTGGGGGGACCCCTTGTGTGACCACCCATCTTGCCCCTCTCCGGAGCAAACCCTCCGCAAAATGGGTCTCTTTGCAGAGCTGTGTTTCCCTCACAGGTGCAGAGGCGCACAAGGGAATATGGCTGAGAGGTGTGACTGAGCGCCCTTCCTCCAGGCGGCCCTCCGGAGCCCCGACAGGTGGATGAAAATTCACCAACCCCCTGTCTCCTGACACTCACCCCTGCACCCGTCTGCAAACAAGGAGGTGCTGGATGGCCCTGCCTCCTGTCCAGAAATAGCATCTCTTCACTTCTGGTCTCCAGGACTATTCCAGATAGTTCTACAAGAAAGGTTGGGAGGGCACATGAGGAAATATTTTTATTACTCAATTGAACTATACTCCACATAATATTTTTTGCGTCTGTTTGCTTCCCTTAGTGGGGTTTTGCTAAACCCATAATGCAACCCCTTAATATAGTGTCATAAATCCCATAATATATTATTTTTTAAAAGAGATTTTTTTGAATTAGGAAAATGAACTCTTTTATATTTATCCACCTAGGAACCGTTTCAATTGCTCGCCATTCCTTTGGATTGCAAAAATAAGATCCCCTAAGGAGAAGTAAACACATGCGGAAGCCCCTGTGGAAAGAACACAGCAAATGGGCCTGACGTGGCTACAAAGGGACAGGGACCCAAAAGAAAATGAAATCAGGCGGTCATGACAGACGCGGGCTTCGGTCACGTACTCTGTGTTCTTAGGAAAACCACAAACAAACACTTTAAAGGCAATAAGTACTTCTGATTGTGCTGAGGGTCCCTGGAAAACCCCTAAGGAGATGCTCCAATGATAGTCATCATCAGAAACTTGCGGTCAGGCTTCAAGAACCTTCCAGTCCCCTTGACAAGTCTCCCAACTGTGGCTTCTGTGGTTTCTGCTTTTAAAAAATCCCTCACCCCTTCAACTCCCAGGAACGTACTTTTAGTTACAGCCAAAGGCTGCTTAGCCCTGGTTTGCAAACCTTGTGAACAATGAAGCTGTCCTTTGGCTTTAAGATAACCCTGACTCTTTTCTCGGGTTGATTTCTACCTTATGATGACGGTATGATTTCTCTATAGCATAATTTTCCTTTCATCTGAAGATCTGCTCATATATTTTTGTAGTGTGGGTATGCTGGTGATGGGTTCTCTCAGCCATTGTTTGTCTGGAAAAAAGTTTTCCTTTACGTTAGCTTTGGAGAGAGATTTTATTGGATAAGGAATTCTAGGTTAACATTTTCCCCCTTTCTGTTGTTCAAATTCTTTTGGCTTGCATGGTTTCTTCTGAGAATTCTGCTGTGATCTTCGTCTTTCTTTCTTTGTGGTTTATATTTTTCTCCAACTGGTTTTTAATATTTTCTCTTTTTGCACTGGATTTAAATAATTTGATTAATTTGTGCCTTGATGTGCAAGTGTGTGTGTGTGTGAGAGAGAGAGAGAGAGAGACAGAGAGAGAGGGATAGATTATCCTACTTGGAGTATTTTGTGTATCTTGAATCTGAAATTTTGTACCTGTGATCAAATTTGTAGAAATTGAAGCCAATATTTATTTAAATATATTGTATTCTTTCTCTCTCTATTCTCCTCTGGGTCTCCAGTTTTACATATGTCATATTGCTCAATATTATCTCATGGATAACTGAGCCTCTGTTCACCATTTCCAGCCTTTTCTCTCTGTATTCTTTCATCTGAATAGGATCTGTTGCTACATCTTCGAGTTTACTGATTATTCTTCCACAATATTGAATCTGTTGTTTGTCTCATTCAGTGAACTTCTTATTTCAGATCATTATTTTCTTCTCTCAAAGTCAATTTCCTTAGTCTTTAATCTTACATTTCTTCTGTATTATGTTAATGTTTTCCTTTACATCCTTGAGTATATGGAACATATTTGTAATAAATATTTTAATGTTTTGGCCTGCTAGGTCTGTCTCTTCTGTCATGTCTAAGTTTGATTCCATTGAATGAGTTTTCTCTTATTAAGTGTCACATGTTCCTACTTCGTGTGTCCAGTAATTTTTCACTGAGTGCTGAACATTGTCAATTTTATGTGACTGTTGACTTGGTCTGGTTCTATTTCTTTAAGTAATATTGGTCTTTTCTTCGATGGCAGTCATGTTATTTGCATGTTGGGTCAATATGTTAAAGGTTCTTTAATTTTTTATTGAAGTCGTATTGATGTACAAAATTAAGTTAGTTTCAGGTTTACTACATAATGATTTGACATTTGCAGACATTATGAAATGATCACCATGATAAGTCACCTAACCATTTGTCCCCATAAAAATTTATTACAGTATAATTGAACATAAGCCATATGGATGTAATATATAGTACGGAATTTTATTTTATAACTGGTGGTTTGTACTTATTCATCTTCTTCACCTATTTTGTCCCCTTCACCCCCTCCCCTCTGGCAACCACCCATTTGTTCTCTATATCTAGATGAGTCTGTTTTCACTTTGTTTTGTTTGTTTGCTTTGATTTTTAGAATCCACATATGAAATCATGTGGTATTTGTCTTTCTCTATCTGATTTATTTCACTGTGCCTAATACCCTCTAGACTGATCCACATTGTCAAAAATGGCAAGATTTCATTTTTTCTTATGTCTGAGTAATATTCATTACTTAGTGTGTGTATATATATATATATATGAATGAATGAATATATATATTCATTCATCTGTCAATGGAAAATTAGGTTGCTTTAATATATTGACTAAATATAGTCATATCTTGACTAAATATATATATAATGGAATATTACTCAGCTATAAAAAAGAACAACATTTTGCCATTTGCAGCAGCATGGGTGGACTTCTAGGGCAGTATGCTAAATGAAATAAGTCAGTCAAAAAGACAGATACCATATGACATCACTTATATGTGGAATCTAAAAAGTACAACATAACAAATAAAGAAGCAGACTCACAGATATTGAGAACAGACTAGTGGTTACCAGCAGGGAGGTGGGGAGAGGCAACACCCGAGTAGGGAATGGGAGTACAAACTATTGTGTGTAAGACAGGCTCAAGGACGTATTGTACAACACGGGGAAAATAGCCACTATTTTATAATAACTGTAAAGGAAATTACCTTTAAACTTATATAAATTTTTTAAATTTTAAAAATTAAATTAAATTAATAAAGTTGAAGAAGCGTGGTGCTGTAAAAACTTTTTTATTTCTCACACTGCTGAAGGCTGAGAAGTCCAAGATCAAGGCACTGGCACAACAGTGTCTGATGAGGGCCATCTTTCTAGTTCATAGGCACTGTCTTCTCTTTGTGTCCCCCCACAGTGGAAGAGATAAGGAGCTAGCTCTGAGGGGTTTCTTTCATAAGGGCACTAATCCCATTCATGAAGACTCCACCCCCATGACCTGATCACCTCGTAGAGGCACCATGTCCAAATACCATTATATCAGGGGTTAAAGCTTCAACATATGAATGTCAGAGAGGGGCACACAGCAAGCAGTCCATAGCAAAGGCTGGAGCTGTAATTGGTAAATAATCAGCAGCCATTTATAGGTAAAGGGGTATCTGGTCACTCTGTGTCTCAGACAGTGTTCCTGTTTGGGTCTGTATTGAGACGTGACTACAGCAAGTATCACTCCTATTGTTTCATCACAGTCACAGAGCGGCTTTGTCAGGTGTCAGGTCCTTTTACTTATTTTTTTTATATCTTTTTTGAGGGGGAGGTAATTAGGTTTATTTATTTTGGGGACAGGTACTGGGGATTGAACCCAGGACCTCGTGCATGCTAAGCATGTGTTCTACCCCTTGAGCTATACTCTCTACCAGTCTCAGGTCCTTTTAAAATCATTTCTGTTCAGTAGGGGAACACCGGGGCCTGGCTGTCATTGCCAGCAGGGGCCACTTTACTCTTTATTTAAAAAATTTTTTTTTAATTTGCACTCTTTTTTATTGAAGTATAGTCATTTCACAATGTTGTGTCAATTTCTGGTGTGCAGCATAATGTTTCAGTCATCCATATACATATATATATTCATTTTCACACTCTTTTTCTTCATAGGTTACTACAAGATATTGAATATAGTTCCCTGTGTTATATAGTAGGTCCTTGTTTTTTATCTATTTTATATATAGTAGTGTGCATCTACAAATCTCAAACACAATTTATCCCTTCCTACCACCTTCCCCCTGATAGCTATAAGTTTGTTTTCTATGTGTGATAGTCTATTTCTGGTTTGCAAATAAGTTCATTTGTATCTTTTTTTTTTTTAGATTCCACATTGAAGTGATATCATATGGTATTTTTTTCTCTGTTTGACATACTTCACTTAGAATGATGATCTCCAGGTCCGTCCGTGTTGCAGCAAATGGCATTATTTCATTCCTTTTTTATGGCTGAATAGTATTTCATTGTGTATATATACCACATCTTCTTTATCTAATTGTCTGTCGATGGACATTTAGGGTATTTCCACATCTTGGCTATTGTAAATAGTGCTGCTATGAACATTGGGGTGCATGTATCTTTCGAATTAGAATTTTCTCTGGATAAAATATTGAAGTGATTTAAATTTGAGGAAGGGTGAGTTTGCAGTGAGGGAAGTGGGATGATTGCGATGACAGATTGCTTTGATACGCTTCCTCTGGCAGAAACCAGGTTGTACTGCAGTGCAATGAAAAGGGCAGAATCATGATTTGTAAGTGCAGTGAGAATGCATGCAGCCTTTTTGGACGAGCAACATTTTCAAATGTGTCCAGAATCTGAGAAATATCCCCTGTAGATGGGCAGTCGGATCAAAACTCTGGACAGCACGGATCCTGGTGACTGGAGCACAAGGGTCAGTCTATGCTAGGGAAATGGAGCGCCCTCTGGAGGCAGAATTCTGAACTGCAGCACGAGCGCTGTGCAAGGGAACTGGGACAGGTGCATCCAGCGAAGACGCTGGTCAGGAAATGTCTTGATTACTCCCTTCCCCCAACAAAGGCTCCTCAGCACCTTGAGGGTCTCAGCTACAGCCAGAGCCGGACTCTTCATTCACCACTGGGATGCTTGCCTATTTGACCTTCACTCGTCCCTTTTCCTGAGTCCAGTCCTCAGACCCACACCCAGCACCGCTCCCAGGGCAGAAACCTGAACGGCCTACCTACCTGTCTACCTCTCTCCCCTCCGCCAACCTCTCCCACCTAATACCCACCCACCCCGATCTCACTTTCTCTCAGTATCTACCTGTGCCTTCTTCATGATCTCAGGGACAGAGACAGAGCATGTGCCCAACATCTGGTGAATGAGAAAGGGAGACCAGAGGCTTGGAGGATTGTGTTTGCTTGTGGGGGGAGGGTAATTAGGTTTATTTATTTATTTAATTAAAAAAGTTTTTTCTTCTGAAAGGCTATTTTGGAGGTGGAGGTAATTAGGATAATTTATTTATTTTTATTTATTTTTTTAATGGAGGTACTGGGGATTGAACCCAGGACTTTGTGCATGCTAAGCATGCGCTCTACCACTGAGCTACACCCTCCCCTCTTTCCCAGACTGTTTTTTTTTTTAAGGAATAAACTCAGAGAAAATCTGAGCACTCTTAGGCAGAGAAGATAGGTGTGAGGACGACCAAATAAGATGCTCGAGGACTCAGGTAGCGGCTGGTCTGTGGTCCGGCCAAGAGTGAGGGAAGGGCGGCTTAAAGGAGAAGGCAATTGCGAAGTAGAGGGGGGAAGTGCTCTGGTCACATTGACGAAAAGTGGGAAGTTCAGAGGCCAACGAAATAATCAAAGATTCAGAAAAGCGCACAGGTGGGGAAATGTTGGGACGACTTGGTTGTAAAGTCAGAAAAGGCTTCTCAAAAGAGAGGTCTCTGAGCTGAGAAAGTGAGAAGGAACCAGCTACAGGAAGAACGTTCCTGCAAGACAGAACAGCAAGGGTCACATTCCCGAGGTGGAAACAAACTTGGTCGGTGTGAGAAACAAAGTGGGGATCGCTGGTGGGAATGCAGAAGTGAAGTGGGTTGAAAGCGAGTTTGGGGGTGGGTCATCGGGGGGTTACATCAGGTCAAGCTCCATAGGTTATGGTGAGGTTGCATTTTCTCCTAAATATAATGGGAGGACTTTGAAATGTTTGAGTAAGAGAGTGACTTAGTCTGATTTATATTTAAAAAATAACCCTGGCTGCTGTGCTGAGAGGGCACTAGAGAGTAAGCAAAAATAGAAGCAGGGCTGATCATCAGTAGCTTTTGTCTCATTCAGATGTGGGATGATGGTGGCACGGACCTGGGTAGTCATTCTCAGTCAAGGTGATTCTGTCAGCAGTACGGTGTCCTCTGTGTGCTATGTGCAACCTGACTTCGGTAGGTGCCTTCACACAGACTGTGCATTTGGTGCCCCTGGACTTGAGCAAGATGGCAGCTCTAGGTGACACTGAAGCCAGAATGAAGCGTTTCGAGAAGGAGTGGGTGATTGAGCACATGACATGCTACAGAGAGGGCGGCATCCAAGTGAGATGAGAGTAGAAAATCTCTGTGGGTTTTAGCCATTGGAGATCTTTGGTGGTCTTGACAGAAACAGTTTGAGTGATGGAGGAATGGAGGCACGATCAGACAAGGATGGGCAGGATGGGCAGTAATAAAGGTTGGGTCCTTGAAGAACCATTCCTGTGAAGAGGGTGAACCCCTAAGAACCCTCAGGGTGTCCGGGAAAGCAGAGGAGGGGAGCTGATGGTCTCAGAACCACCTCCAGGAATGTCTTGGCAGCTGTCTCCAGAAGGGGAAGGTTTGGTCCACAAATGGGGTCACTGAAGGGTCTCCTGGTGCCACTCTGTTTCCACCTCTCTCAGGCCACCTGGCTATGAACATAGAGCTGCCCAGCCATCCTCGCCTGATTCAGGGGGCTTCCTCACCTCCACATCTCAGGATCAGCTCTCAGGTTTGAAGGCATATCTGATCCTGAGGGTGGCCCACATTCATCGATGTGGGGTGTGAGACCTTTGGGTTAGCCTGGAGGAACTGGGGAGTCACAGATTGGTATCTTTCAGCCCCAGGACAGCAGAGGGTCCTCTCTCCCTTTCCTGGCTGATGGGGCAGCGTTTCTGTTGGAGAAACCCACAGGACTGAGACATCGCGGCCCTCCTGGTTCCTGTTCCCGTGAGCCCCACAGAGGCACAGTGATGCTCAGAGGCAGAGGGGAGGCAGGGTCTGAGCTTTGGGGTTTGGGACCTCAGTTGTCAGCTCCTTAGGGCAAGTCCCCAGCTCCCTCCCTCTCACTCCTCCCTGGGAGAGGCCCTTCTCTTCCTCTGTGAACTCGACGACAGAGTGACAAGTGTGATGCCCTTGACTCTAGGGCTCCCCTGGTAGAGGGGAACCTGCTTTTCCCAGAGAAAGCCCAGGTTGGGCGGCGGGGATACAGGATCAGAGTAAAGAGGAGGGTGGATGTTATGGGCTGTATTGTATTCCCCCATCCCCAAATTCACACATTGAAGTCTAACCTCCAGTATCTCAGAATGTGTGTTTGGAGATGGGGTCTTTTGTTTTGCAAATTTTTCCCCCATTCTGTGCGTTGTCCTTTTACTTTATTGATAATTGGAGATAGAGTCTTTAAAGAGATAATTGAAATGAGGTCATAGGGTAGCATCCTAGTCTAATGCGACCGGGATCCTTGTAAAGGACACAGACACACACACAGGGAAGCCCAGGTGAAGAGGCAGGGGAGAAGACGGCCATCTCCACGTCAAGCAGAGGCCTTGGAAGAAACCAGCCCTGCTGACACCTTGATCTTGAGCTTGTAGCCTCCAGAATGGTGAAGCAATACGTTTCTGTGGCTTAAGCTGCTCATTCAGTAGTGTTTAATTATGGCGGCCCGAGCAGACTAATACAGTGGATTTGAGGACAGGAACAGCTTCAGGTGACTTCCTCCAGGGGGTCCCCCCTGACTTCTCCTGGGCCCGTGGGGAACATCTGTCCGGGCGGGGGGGGGGCATGTATGAGCACCTGGTGTCTGTCTGTTTCTAAGGAACTTCATTTACCAGGCTGGATCCCCATGAGGTCAGACACTGCATCTGATCTACCTACATACCCTCCCCTAGACGGCTTGACACCTGCCGCACACAAGGTCCCAGGGGCATGGAGGTCGAGCGGGCAAGCCCAGTGTCTCACGGCGACCGAAACAGAGCGTTATTTCAAGGTGAGGGGAACAGCAGTCAACTTCTGGGGGAGTTTGTCCTGCCCACTCCATGACCCCCTCCCCTTGCATTACCCAAAACGCCCACCGTCAGCGTCACCTCTGGATGTTTGTGTTCTTAGCACAACGGGTGTTACAAGTGTGTGTCGTCCAACTGTGTGGCGGAAGAAGAGGAGACTGGGAAGCAGATTAAGGGCTTGGAGGGTGGCTTTTCCTGGGGGACCATGTGCGGGAGAGACCACCAGCGAGGGTGAAGGGGTGGGACTGAGACTGGCCTAGGGTGGCCAGATTTTGCCAATAAAAACGCAAGCTGCCCTGTTAACTTTGCATTGCAGATCTAAACAACGAATCATTTTAGCACGTCTGCATGCAATACTGGGGACAGACTTACACTGGGGAAAAAAAAAGTATGATTTATCTGAAAGCCAATTTTAACTGAGCATCCTGCCTTTGACCTGGCGAGAGCAACCCTATGCCACCCCCCAACCTTCCTCCCCAGAAATCCACCCTGCCTTGCACCCGCCCCCACCACCAGGGCCACCTGGCGACTTTCACTTCTGCTTCTCCAACGACCTAGAGCCCAATGGGAGAGCCCCCACCTTCCACCCACCTAGAGCCAAGCCCCAAGGCCAGATACAGACCTTCCACTCCCTCCCTCCCCAGGAGATGACTCGGAAGGAGACCAGCTCAGCGAGCCCCAGCGCCAGGCAGGCCCCCTAGGAAAGAATGAGTTCAAATGGGCCAGATGGGGCTGAGGAGAGTTATGGAGAAGAGGAGAGGGAGTCTGTGGGCCTGAGCATCAGAAGCTCATTTCATGCATCAGTACCCCCCGGGGCTCAGCTTCCGCCTTCTGCCAGTGCCTAAGGCCAGCCACAGCGTCTGGGGCAGGAGCCTGCCCAGACGGGTCCAAGATGCTCCTGCCACTACTCTTGGCCGTGCTGTGGGGCGGTGAGTGGATGGCGGGGCCGGCAGGGGTCCGGGTTGGGGGCTGGTGTGGGGCTGGGATTACAGCTTGAGCCTCTGACTCCCCCCAGGGTCAGGGGCTCTGTACCCCAAATTCCAGCTGCAAGTGCCGAAGTCCGTGAGTGTGCAGGAAGGCTTGTGCGTGGTCGTGTCCTGCTCCTTGATCACCTATCCTCAAAGAGGCTGGACTCATGCCACCCCAGCTCACGGCTACTGGTTCAGAAACCCGGCCAACACAGACACTGATCCACCAGTGGCCACAAACAAGCCAGGCCAAAAGGTGCAAAAAGACACCCAGGGCCGATTCCAGCTCCTTGGCAATCTCAGCCAGAGTTGCTCTTTGCTGATCAGAGACGTACAGATGGAGGACGCAGCATCGTACTTCTTTCGGTTGGAGAGAGGCAGTTATGTCCAATATAATTTCAAGGAGAACATGTTCTACCTAGAGGTGACAGGTATGGAACCAGCTTCAGCTGGAGTGGGGTGGGACATCCCCCTCCCCCTCCCTCACCATCTTCTGCTTCTTAAACTGGGGAGGGACTATGGGGAATGGACCATGGGTGACCATCTGGGGCTCGGATCCCAGTCTCTGTCCCTCCATCCCAGACCTGACACAGAAGCCAGAGGTCTACATCCCAGAGACCCTAGAGCCTGGGCACCAGGTGACACTCATCTGTGTGTTTAACTGGATCTTTGAGGAATGCCCAGCCCCTACTTTCTCCTGGACGGGGGCTGCAGTCTCCTCCCATGGAGCCGGGCCAAGAACCTCCTACTTCTCAGTGCTCACCCTCACACCCAGACCCCAGGATCACGGCACTGAGCTCACCTGTCGAGTGGACTTCTCCAGAAAGGGTGTGAGCACAGAGAAGACAGTCCGACTTAGCGTGGCCTGTGAGTTTGGTGGCGGGAGGGACATCAGGGTGTGCAAGCAGCATGGGGGATGGGGAGATGGGGCGATGCGGCGGGGCGATGTTGGGCACCTCTCAGGCCTCAGAGAGGAAGGCGTGGAGTCTCACGATGCTGCCCCCACCCGGGAGGGGAGTGGGGGTGCCACCTGGTCCCCTGTCCACAAGCGCATCTTTGGCACTCATGTCTCTCGTCTTCCTGGAGGATGGTCACACTTTCTTTTCCCCAAGGGAGTTTTTTCTGGTGAGGGGGAAGTCAGCATTCCTCCCCAAAGCCAGCTCTCCATCTTGTTGCAGACGCCCCCAGGGACCTGGTTGTCAGCACTTCCCGGGCCAATGTGTCAGGTACCAAGGGCCTATTGGAGGTGTCGGGGCGTGGGGGAATGGTGGTCCTCCTGCAGCCCTTCTGCTTTCTCTCTGCCTCTCTCTCTGCAGCCCTGGAGCCGTGGGGAAACAGCCCACATCTGGCAGTCCAGAAAGGCCAGTTCCTGCGGCTGCTCTGTGCCGCTGATAGCCTGCCCCTCGCCACCCTGAGCTGGGCCCTGGAGGACAGAGTCCTCTCTTGGTCCCACCCCTCCGGCTCCAGAACCCTGGAGCTGGTGCTGCCCGGGGTGAAGGCTGAGGATGCAGGCCGCTACACCTGCCAAGCCGAGAACAGGCTTGGCGCTCAGAGCCGCAGCCTGGACCTCTCTGTGCAGTGTGAGTGTGATCAGCTGGGACCTGGCTTCGGGAGGGGGAGACGTGAGGAGGCAAGGGACCCAGGACCGGGTCGCAGAGCTCTAGGGAGAACCTCCCCTCGCTGGGGGCCTAAGGGATTAAGGTTTCCAATTCCAACTGCGATGTGGGAGATTTTCCCACACCACCAAGCAATGCTCCAATATCAGCAGCATGTCCTACAAGTCAGCTCAGTTCTGACTCTGTCTACCTGGAGAGAGCATCAGGTCCCGCAGGGGAAGGGCTCGGTCCCATGAGACTGGCCCCGCCCCCATTTCAGAGCCAGTTGCAAGTTCAAGTTGTCCCCTGTGCTTCAGACCGACCAGCAACAGGTTGGAGATATTCCCACGACCTCCTCCCTGTTCGATCACTTGCCTGGAGCAGGACGCAGAACCCAGAGGAGGGGAGGAGGTGCGGCAGAGCTCAGCAGTAGAGTGTGTGCTTAGCATGCCTGAGGTCCTGCATTCAAGCCCTAGTACCTCAATTTAAAAAAATTAAATTTAAACTGAAAAAAAAACAAATCAGGGAAGTATTTTACTTACTAGATCACTAGTTTATTATAAAAGAATATAACTCAGGAACAGCCAGATGGAAGAGAGGCATAGGGCAAGATACAGGGAAGGGGCACCTAACTTCCACGCCCTCTCCGCGGGCAGCACTCTCCACAAATCTCCATGTGTTCAGCAACCAGGAGGCTCTCCAAACCCCATCATGGGGAAGGCGGTTTATGGAGGCTTCATTTCATAGGCGTGATTGATTAAATCATTGGCCATCGGTGATTGAACTCAGCTCCAGCCCCTCTCCCCTCCTCAGAGGTCAGGGCACGGCTGGAAGTTCTAACCCTCTAATCACTGGTTGGTTGCCCTGGCAACCAGCCCGCTCCCCCACCTTAGGTGCTTCCGAAGTCACCTTATTAACATAAACTCAGGGGTGATTGCAAGGGGTTTGTTATGAATAACAAGAGGCTTTTATCACTCTTACCGACCACTCAGGAACTCCGAGAGTTTTAGAATCTCTGTGCCAGGAATAGGGACAAAGACAAAATATCTATTTCTATTCTAAATCACAATATCGTAGGGACACTCCCTTCCCACCAGCCTGTTCCCTTGGGTCTCTCACCACTGAGTCATTCCGTGGGTGAGTCAGTCCTCCTGCCCCCTCCCAGCCCTTCATCCCCAGGGACGTTCACTTTGCCCAGCCCGAAAGTCCCGGCCACTTTAGAGCCAGTACCCTATCTCTGTTTCAGATGCCCCAGAGAACCTGAGAGTGGTGGTCTCCCAAGCAAACAGGACAGGTAGGAAAGGGGGACAGAGGAACCAGGGCATCTCATTGCCAAACTGGGGGCCCAGGCATCTGGAATATCGGCAGGCGAGGGGGTCCCCATGCCCTCAGCTGTGCATCTGTCCTGCCTCTCCCCCACCTCAGTCCTGGAAAACTTCGGGAATGACACATCCCTTGTGGTCCTGGAGGGCCAAAGCCTGCGTCTGCTCTGTGTCACTCACAGCAACCCCCCAGCCCGGCTGAGCTGGGCCCGAGGGGGACAGACTCTGAGCCCCTCCCAGCCCTCAGACCCCGGGGTCCTGGAACTGCCTCAGATACAAACAGAGCACGAAGGAGAATTCACCTGCCAAGCTCAGAACCCGCTGGGCTCCCAGTATCTCTCTCTGAGCCTCTCTGTGGTCTGTGAGTGTGGGGACCCCTGGGGGCAGGACACCTGGGTCCAGGGGAGGGAAGAGGGACTGCTGACCCTTCTCCCCCCTCCCCACAGACCCCCCACAGCTGTTGGAACCCTCCTGCTCCTGGGAGGACGGGGGTCTGCACTGCAGCTGCTCCTCCCGAGCCCAGCCGGCCCCCTCCCTGCGCTGGCGGCTGGGGGAGGGGCTGCTGGAGGGGACCCTCAGCAACGCCTCCTTCAAGGTCACCTCCAGCTCGGCTGGGCCCTGGGCCAACAGCTCCCTGAGCCTCAGTGAGGGGCTCAGCTCTGGCCTCAGCCTCAGCTGCGAGGCTCAGAATGTCCACGGGGCCCAGAGCGCCAGGGTCCTGCTGCTGCCAGGTCAGGGGGCAACTAGACGTCCCGTGGAGGCGGGGACTGAGCGGGGCAGGGACAGGGTTCCGTGTGTGGTTGGGGCAGGAGCTAGGAACCAGGACACCAGTGCCTATGGCTGGGGCTGCAGAGGGGGGAATTTAAATCGGAAGGCCTGACACCTGGGCTTGGGGTGCAGCGGAGTTTCCAAGAAGTCAATGGGAAGGGACTGCAGGTAAAACCTCTGGAATGGGAGCCGGCAGCCTGCGCGCCTAGTGGCGGGTGGACGCCAGGACCCGCGTGCACGGGAAAGGCTGAGAAGGCTGCGCGGTTTCCTTGTGCAGGTGAAAAGAAACTTATCTCCAACGGAGTGTTTGTAGCAATTGGCCTTATGACCCTGCTTTTCCTCTGCCTCATCCCGATCGCGTGAGTTAGGGGCGGGAGCAGGGACGGATGGAGGGTGGGAATCGGGGGTCCGGGAAAGGGGCGGGGCCAGGACGCACACCGGCGGGGTGTTTCCTCAGCGTGAAGACTTTGCGGAAGAAACGGATCCAGGCAGAGGTTCCGGCCCCGGCCCCGGACGCCCCGGCCGCCCCGGCCGCCCCGGCCCCGGGAGAGACTCTGCGGTCCAGACTCTCCCGGAGGAGCACGATTCTGGATTACATCAACGTGATCCCTAAACCCGGCCTCCTAGTGAGTGGTGCTGTTCTTCCCCTTCTCTGACTCCCGTACCCGCTCCTCCCCAGCCCGGCCCCCACCCTTTGCCTGAGAGACATCACAGGGGAAATCTGGGAGTAGGATTCAAATCCCGATTCTGGCACTTAACTATCTATGAGACTCCCTGCCTCTGTGCCTCCATTTCTTCCTCCTAGAGACTTGGTCTGAGGATTATGACATCTGTTACTGCTCAATATGTAGCAGCTGTTCCATTACCACCACCAAGGACATTACTAATTATAATTAATGGTGTCACAGTGATTAATATCACTGAGAGGCACTATGTCCTGGTGTTGATTAAGGGCAGGGCTCTGAAGTCTGCCTGCCTGGGTTAATTCCTGCTTTCGTTGCTGTGTGTTCTGGGACAAGTCACTTAACTTCTCTGTGCTTCAGTTTCTTTAACTGTAAAATGGGAATAATAATCGTACCAATCACCTAGGATCATTCTAGATATTCAATATCTTCATTTTTTACCTGTAAAACATTTAGAATAGTACCTGGCACCTAGCAAATGTTCAATAAATGCTGGATATATTCAGGAGAGAACATCTATATGCTGACGAATCCAAAATTTATGTCTTCCAGACTCATCCCTGAACTTGAGACTCATAGCCAACTGTCTAGGTAGCTTCTCCATTTGGGTGTCTAATAGGCATCTCAAACTCAGCCTGTCCAAAACCAAACTGAGTACCACTTAACCCTTCTCCTTCATCCTCTGCATCTCAGCAAACAGCACTTGGCTGTTTGAGCCTAAAGCCTTAAATCATCTCTTACTCCTCTTTCCTCTGTCACCCCACAATCAATCCATCAGCAAATCTCTAAAATCCATCCAAACCACTTCTCCCCCCTTCTCCCTAGTCCGCATGCCGACAGCTCTCACCTGGACACCATGGCCACCTTCTGTGTGTCCTCTCAGCTTCCACTCTTGCCTGTTCATCAGGTCAAGTTCTCTCTACCTGATACCGTTTTAAAACCCAAATAGGTACATCTCCCCCCACGAATACTACTCAGCAATCAGAAGGGACAAATGATATATAGCTGGTTGGATAGAGCTTAGGGACCCCCCCCAAAAAAGTGAAAAAAAAGAGCCAGTCTCAAATGGTCACATACACAGGATTCCAAGTATATAACACTCTCAAATGACAAGATTGTAGAGATGGAGAACAGGTTAGCAGTGGCATGGGGTTCGGGATGGAAAGAGCTCTTTATGGTGACAGAACATTTCTGTATCTTGCGGTGGTGGTTACACCGGTCTGCCCGCCTTAGTTTGCTAGGGCGGCCATAGCAAAGAACCACAGGCCAGCAGTCTTAAACAATACACTTGTGGGTTTTTTTTTTTTAATGTGTTTATGTTTATTCCTGCCCCAGGAGGGAAGGCCAGCCCCGCGAGGGCAGGGACTTTGTTTTACTGACTGCCTGATGTGATCCCAGTTCCTCAACCAGTGCCTGGTGGGTGGTAGGTGTTCAAGCATCTGTTGAAGGGATGAGTGAACGAGTGACGGTCATCTTTCTCTTAGGCTCAGAAACGGAAAGCCAATCCAAGCAGTCCTTCCCGGCCCCCTCCGCCAGATGCTCACCCCCCGGAATCCAGGCACAAGCAGAAGGAGCCCTATTATGTTTCCTACAGTTGTCCAGGACCCAAAGCCTCCACTCAAGATGCAGAGTATGAGAACAACCAAGAGGAGCTCCATTATGCTGTCCTCAACTTTCCAGGCCACAGGCCCTGGGAGACTCAGGGGTCCAAGGATGCCCACTCGGACTATGCAGAAATCCAGCTCCACTGAGGGTCTGCTGGGCTGTAAGACTGGGATCCAGGCCAGGGAGAAAGGGAGAGCATGTGAGAAGAACTGTAGTGTCTCCTTTTCTCTCTTTAATCCTCAAGGCTGACTCATCCCATCCCAGAACCTAGCATTTTGGACCAGCTTGACAAAACTCTCCAGAGTGGCTTTCTGCAAATAACACTATTCTGAGCAGCAAGGAAAAGCTTTTCCTCTGACAAACCCAGGCCTCACCCTTGCTGGTGACTCACAGTCTCAGTTTCTCAAAGGTGGGAGGGCCTTTAAAGATCATCTTTGTGAGGTTGGCAAGCCAACCTCGCAGGTCAAGTCTGGCCTGTTTCCATGCCAACTGTGAGCCAGGAGGGTTTTTTACATTTTACACGGTGAGGGGGAAAAAATAGAATGTTTTGTGATGCATGGAAATGACATGAAATTCAAATTGCAGTGTCTTTAAATAAAGCTTTATTGGAACACAGCCATGCTCATTCTTTATACTCTCCCCCCTCCCACAAGGGTTCCTTTATACAGATCTTATCTCCATTATACAGTTGGGTAAACTGAATCATGAAAAGGTTACAGACATATCCAAAGCCACATGATTAGTAAAATTCAATTCTAGAGCCCAGGCTTTTGGTCACAACCCTATATTGGCCTCCTGGTGGCTTGATGAACAGAGCGGGCCTGATAAGGGGTTCTGGCAGGTGCAGTATATGGAAAGGACAAAGCACTCACACTTGTGTCCAGATTCCACCACTTACTAACCAGAGTAAGTGTAGGCAAGTGACTTTCCCTCTCGGAGCTTCGATTTCCCCATGTGTTAAGATGAAGGCAGTGGGGGAGGGGATAGCTCAAGGGGTCGAGCACATGCTTAGCATGCATGAGGTCCTGGGTTCAGTCCCCAGTACTGCCTCCAAACATAAATAAGTAAATAAGCCTGATTACCTACCCCACTAACAAAAATTTTTTTAATTTAAAAAATATTAGCTATATTCCCTGTGTTACCCACTATGTCCTGGCTGATTATTTTACACTCGGTATTTTGCGGTCAAATGCTCTACCACTTACACCCAGTAGTTTGAACAACTGCCTCATCTTATAGGTGGAGTGCTTAGGGAGGGACAGGGTCTCGCCTAAGGTCACATAACAAAATAGCAGAAGTGAAATTCAAACTCAGATAGGACCCAAAAGTGATGAGCGCTGCAGGTCCCCAAATTCCTTTTAATAGACTCGGAGTGGGGAGGATGCTGGTGGGGCCTCTGTTTCCCTCCCTCTGCCCCTGCATCTTGCATGAGAACAATCCTTCAAAGTTTGTTTGACCTGGGAGATTGTGGGACTGTGTTGCTAAGTCACCAGGTTTGGCCAGGGGTCAATAACAATAATATGTGTGTTAAGATCTTGACTTCTGCAATAACGGCTTGGGACTTGGAGGGAGGGGGAGGGAGAGTATTGCAGTCCAGTCCTCTTGGGGAAAGGCGTGTGTAGATGAACATAGCTACAGAAAGGACAGGCTGGGAGTCAGCTGACTTGGACTTTCTGTACTGCCAGATACTCTTTATAGCCAGTTAACTGGAGACTATCAACTCCAGGAGGTATAACTATAAAATGATTCTACATTTCTGATTTCTGACTTAATCATGCTCTGTCAAAATTTTTCTCATCCCCTAACAGGATCTTGGACATTCTGCAACTCTCCAGTCAGCTCTGATTATTAAAACTCAGCCTGGCCTTAAATCTTCACCTCAAACTCAGTTCAGATCTCATCTCCAGCCAGTGGAGGTTTAAGCTGGGACTGGACCCCTTGGAAAAGAGAGGGAGACCAGTTGTTCCTGACACACCCCCAGTTTCCCAAAGTATTGGGGCCTAGAGAAGGGACAGGTTTGGGGACAAGTGACTCAACCTAACTGGTCACAGTAGTGGCCTCTTGTTGGCTGAAGCTGCTTCTCTGGCTAACCCTGGCTGGGACTCTGAATGGCAGGTGTCCAAACACTAGGTCTCTTGTGGAGCAAAAATGTGAGGCCTTGGGTGGGTGAGTCCGATGAGATTTCTTGGACTTTTTTCTCCCCCACCCCTTGGGATGGTAGGTACCTTGGGTTTTTTTTTTTTTTAAGTATAGTTGGTTTACAAGGATGTGTTAATTTCTGGTGGACAGCAGCGTGATATATATATATTATTATATATATATTATATTATATATATATATAGATATGTATATATTCTTTTTTCAGATTCTTTTCCATTATAGGTTACTACAAGATACTGAATACAGTTCCCTGTGCTATACAGTAGGTCCTCATTGTTTATCTATTTCATACATAGTAGTTTGCATTTGCTAATCCCAAACTCCTAATTTATGCCTCTCCCTCTTCCCATTTTGTAACCATAAATTTGTTTTCTATGTCTGCAAGTCTGTTTCCATTTTGTAAATCAGTTCATTTGTGTCATATTTTAGATTGCACATATAAGTGATAACAGGGTATTTGGCTTTCTCTGACTTAACTTCACTCAGTATGATAATCTCTAGGTCCATCCATGTGGCTGCAAATGGCATTATTTCATTCTTTTTTTTATGGCTGAGTAGTATCTCAGTGCATACATATATATATATACCACAACTTCTTTATCCAGTCATCTGTCGAAGGATATTTAGGTTGCTTCCATGTCTTGGCTGTTGTATATAGTGCTGCTGTGAACACTGGGGTGTGTGAATCTTTTCTAATTAATGGAGCTCTCTGTTTCTTGGCAGGAGAGTTGAGACCCTGCTCTACCACACTGTAAGGGAGAACACGCCTCTGTGTTTCTCCTTTATGTCACACTGCCACATGGTTTTAAATACCAAACACAAGGAGCACTTTTAAAATCTGTTAAAAAGATTATGAGAATTTAAATGAGTTCATGCAAGTGAACGTGTCTAAGTGATCTTTAGTCCTTGGGCCTTCAGACTCTCAAAGCTGGTGGTTGGAAGAAAAGGGGGAACCTAGAAAGAGGCCTTGAAAGTGAAGTTCTTGATGGAGACAGTGATGCTGGGCCTTTGGGGAGTGTGTAAAAGGAAGAAGCCCTCGGGGTGAGGAAAACCTCCGAGGCTGAGGGAGACCCTAAAGATCACCGTCTGAACCTAGAAGGTAATTTCTGCTCTGAGGGCTAAAGGGACTGTCACTGAGTTGGAGGTGCTGTGTGGGGAAGTTCTCAAAATGTGGGGAAGCCCTGAAAGTGACCAGGCAACCCACTGAATGCAGGTGACTCTGAAAATGGAAGATGAAAACGAGGATTGTTCCAAGTGTATGTCAAAGGGGGATGGGGCAATTCCAAAGGAAGGAGAGGCCCAGGGGATAATCCCTGAATTTTTAGTCCTCTGGACAATGAAGGGAGGGGGCTAACTGTGAGAGGGGAGTACCTGAAAAGGAAGAGTAAGGTTCACAGGGCAGGGATGACCCCTTTATGGTGGACATCCTGGGGGTATCCTGAGTGTGAAGGAGCTGGCAGTGACGGGGGAGACCTTAGGGAGACAGTGGGATGCCTAAGGGGTAAGAAACTCAGCAGAGGAGGAACTGCCAGAGAACACCCTCAGGTGGGGGTATTTGAGAGGGTGGGGGTGGCTTAAGGACAACCTCCTAAATTTCAAAAGAATCCATTAAAAAACCTGAATGAAAAAGAATATGAAAACAAATATATGTACATATATGTATGACTGAACTATAATGCTGTACACCAGAAATTCACACATTATAAAGTGATTCTACTTCAATTAAAAAAAAACTTAAAAGATTGGGGGAAGGGAGAATGACAGTGAGGGTTTGAGCTCTAAGGACTGGGGAAAGGAAGAGGAAGGAATAGGGATCTGAAGGTAGAGATATCCCTGGAGACGACCCTCCCTGGACACTGAAGGACACCTGGGGATTCCTGAACGAGTGAGGGCCCTTAGGATGGCCACCCTCCTCAAACCTGCAGGGTTCAAGGACATCCCAGGGGAATGGTGGGCCTAGAAGAAAAGGGAATGGGCTAGGAGGAGGGGAGACTGCACTCCTTAGGGTGGGGAGGTCCCAGTTTCCATCCTGAAAGGTCTAGAAGTTAGAGGATTAAGTATGGGAATCCTAACCATGTGGCGGGATCGCTCTTTGGAGACTTTAGGATTCCCAAGGTCCCCCAAGGGGATTGGAGGCAAGAAATAAAAGCTGGCTAGGAAGAAAGTGTAACTCCTGGGTCAAAGTCCAAAGGTGATCCCCAGGCCTTCAAGGGGCTGGGAGGGGAGCAGTGAGATGAGAACCTCTACAGTGGGGAGATTCTCCAAGGAAGGGAGGAGAGGATGACTTCCTGGAGGTGGGAGAAGGGGGTGGAGTGGAGAAAGAGGATATAAGGGTGAGGGTGGGAAAGAGGAGCCCCCAGGACCGGAAGGGGCCTTAAGATGGAAAAGTTGAAAGAGTGGGTAAGGCTCAAGGGAGACAGCAGGGTCCCCAGGGCGTCTCCTGCAGGGGACGTTAGTGGAAGGGAGGGACACTTAAGGGAATCCGTGAGCCCTGTGGGCTGGGGAGGCCCTGAAGATCGAATCTTGGGACTTTAACGGTCCGAGGCCTGTAGGGGGAAGTGTAAGGAAGAGGCTGGTTTTAACGCTGGTTTAGGGCAATGAGGCTCCCTAGTCGGGAACCCCTCAGACTGGGGGGCTCCTCTCCCCACCAGGTTTCGCTCAGTATCTCCAGGCCTGGGCTGGTTCTACTCGGACACGGACGTTGCCACCGCGACTGAGAATCGACAAGAGATACATACCTCCAAAGGCCGGGACGAAAATCTTCAGTTACAGCTTGGAGAAGGCGCGGAAAGAGGACAGCCAATCAGAAGGCGAGAGCGAAGGTTGCGCTGATAAACGTAGCCAATAAAAGAGCGAGGATGTTAGCTCAAGGATTTGGCTGCCGGAGGGAGGAGACTTGGAAACAACGCGAGCTCACCCGCCAATCAGAGCCGGGGATGACGTCTCGCGCTGTACACGCAGGAAAAAGCGGGCGTTCTCTGCCAGCGTTCCCCGCGAATCAGAAGCTTCGCTCCCTCCCGACGCACAAGCTGATTGGTCACTTTTCAAAACTTGCCTGTCAAATTTGGAAGCTGGGTAAAGGGCATTTCCTTAGAGACGCAAGATCCCGCCTCCGCCCTCCTATCGTAGGCAGGAGGGCCTTAAAGGGCCAGGTACGTGGTAAGTGAGGAGGACGGACCCTGATGGAATATAGGAGAAACAATGATAAAACAAAACGAGAAGCAATGTTGTTACGCTGGAATTGAGCAGTAAGCGCTATCTCGAGCAAAACGGAGATTCGGCTTGCTTTCGGTCACACGCTAGTAAGAAGCGGAGCCGGGATTCGAACCCTAATTTCCTATCCCTGTTTCACATAAGCTCCCTCTTTGGGATAGGACGTAACCAGAGAAATGAGATCTGCATGCGAATCACAGTCGCCAGGAAAGGAAAGCCAGCCTTCTTGATAAAAATCTTTCGATTCCAGCCACCTGGCC